GTGGGTTAGAGCAGGGGTGGCGGGAGCCAGGACTCCTGGGTTCTCTCCCCGGCTCTGGGAGGGGAGTGGGGGCTGGTGGGTTAGAGCAGGGGTGGCGGGAGCCAGGACTCCTGGGTTCTCTCCCCGGCTCTGGGAGGGGAGTGGGGGCTGGTGGGTTAGAGCAGGGGTGGCAGGAGCTAGGACTCCTGGGTTCTCTCCTCTCCCACTTGTTCTCACACCAGGGAGGCAAACCCTACACCTCCTCCCCAGCAGTAGGGGAAGGGAGCCCTGTGCCAAGCGGGTGGGGCGGGGGCAAGGTGGGTGCGGGGCTCTAGGGCCGGCACACCTGGCGCTGCCTCTGGCTGACTTCCGGGAACAGAAGGTGTCTCAGGACCTCGCGTGTTGACACAGGCAGGAAAGTTTCTTCTTGCGTGTCAGGGCTGGGCCCGAGGCCCAGGTGCCGTGCTGTGGGGTGTCGGGTGCGGGCTCGGTAGTGGGTGCTGGCCTGTGGGGTGCGCTCTCCCCAGCAGTCTCCTCTCTCCGTCCCCAGCGTTGCTGTCAGCTGTCCCAGCCCAGTTCTTCTCCACCCCAGAGGTGGCCGCATTTCAGGAGCGGGTCTGGGCCGAGTGGGTCAGACGGGCCCTGCCAGCTGTGAGTGGGAGGACTGAAGGCTGGAGGGGGTGTATTCCTGTCCCCCCCCATACCATTCACCCCCCCTCCATGATACCTGCTTTCCCCCAATGCCCCCCCTGGAAGGACCAGGCCCCTCTGTGCCACGCTGCCCCATGCCAGGCTCCCCTCCCCAGTTGGACACTGGGGTCCCCCCTGGGAGGCTGGGGTGGTGCTGGACAGGAAGTTGGGGGTGGGAATCTCGCTGGCGGGCTGGGGTCTCTGGGTCTCCAAGTTCCCCCATCTCTGCTGGATACCAGGGGCACTGGAGGGGCAGAGAGAACACAGGAGTCCTGGCTCCCAGCCCCCTGCTCTAACCACTAAACTCTCCTCCCCTCCCAGAGCTGGGGAGAGAACCCAGGAGTCCGGGCTCCAGCCCCCGTCCCCCACGTGAGGGACAGGGGCAGGAAATGGGGGCGGAGGAAGCAGAGTAGGGGGAGCGGGGGGGGGGGCGACGAGAGCCAGAGCTGCAGCATCAGTCAGGTAAGGACTGGAGGAGCTGCTGGCTTGGGGTGAGCTGCAGGCGGGGGGGGGGGGGGTTGGAAACGGGGGAGGTAAAGTTGGGAGCTGGCCCCTCCCCTGCCCCACATCACCCTGCCAGGGCCCCGTGTGCCCTGCAAGGGATGCACCGAGGGGAGCCTGGGGCAGAAGGAGGCAGGCGGGGGGGGGGCATCTGGCAGGGGAACCTCTGTAAGGGGTCGGCGGGGGCACCAGTTGTGTTGGGGATTAGCTTAACTGGGAGACAGGACTCCTGGGTTCTCTCCCCGGTTCTGGGAGGAGAGTGGGGGCTGGTGGGTTAGAGCAGGTGGGGTTGGGAGCCAGGAGAGAACCCACCAGCCCCTACTCCCCTCCCAGAGCCGGGGAGAGAACCCAAGAATCCTGGCTCCCAGCCTGCCCTCCCCCACTGCTTTAACCACTCGACCCCATTCCCCCAATTGGATGCCCTGCTGGTTTAGCGATCCCCCGGGCAGCCTGGTGCCAGCGCAGTGCCCCTGCCTCAGGGCGCCCCACCCTGGTCCGGAGATAGGAGGGGACTGACAGCTCCAGCGCAGCCCCCACAGGGCTGGCGGGGAATCCCCCTCAGGCATTACGGGGTCTAAGATACACACTGTGCAGCACCGAGCGCGGCTAGCATCGGGGAAGCACCAGGCACGGCGGCCTCCATAGGAGGTGGGGGACCCAAAGTTGCGTGTGTGTGTGTGTGTGGGGGGAGAGGATGTGTGTGTGGGGGAGGGCGCTCAGCAGAGAAAGAGTCGGCCGGGGAGCTAAATTGGTCCAGCCAGGAAGCTCTGTCAGACAACACACGCCCCTGGGGGGCAGAGAACGAGTGAGGTCTAGTGGGTTAGAGCAGGGGGGGCTGGGAGCCAGGACTCCTGTGTTCTTTCCCCGGCTCTGGGAGGGGAGGGGGGGCTGGTGGGTTAGAGCAGGGGGGGCAGGGAGCCAGGACTCCTGGGTTCTCTCCCTGGCGCTGGGAGGGAAGTGAGGGCTAGTGGTTAGAGGGGAGGGGGGTGGTGGGAGCCAGGACTCCTGGGTTCTCTCCCCGGCTCTGGGAGGGGAGTGGGTGCTGGGGGTTAGAGAGGTGGGGGCTGGGAGCCAGGACTCCTGGGTTCTCTCCCCAGCTCTGGGAGGGGAGTGGGGGTCTAGTGATTAGAGCACGGGGAGGGGGCTGGTGTAAGATTTCCCCACTACCAATTGGGGCTGCTGGTCCTGCCCCCCACCTCTCCTGTGGGGTAGGGCCCCAGGGGGCAGTTTCAGTTACTGCCTGCGGGGATCCGTGCTTGGGCGCTACCAGGAGAAGGGGGGAGGCCTGGCCCTTGGGGAGGATACAATGGCTGGAAGGGGAATGTGTGGGAAGAGAACCCAGGCGTCCTGGCTCCCAGCCCCCCTCTGCTCTAACCACTAGACCCCACTCTCCTCCCAGAGCCAGGGAGAGAACCCAGGAGTCCTGGCTCCCAGCCCCGCCTGCTCTAACCCACCAGCCCCCAGTCCCCTCCCAGAGCCAGGAGAGAACCCAGGCGTCCTGGCTCCCAGCCCCCCCTGCTCTCCAGACACTCAGAGCAGGTCTGTGCTCAGGGCTTGGGGTTGTGGATTCCCTGCTCTGGGACTCAGCCTACGGGACAGGGTGACGTTCCCCCCCTCCAGCTGATTGGTCCCCGGGCAGCCTGGTGCCGGAGGGGTGCCCCTGCTTCGGGGTTCCCCACAGACAGTCCGGAGATAGCAGGGCCCTGACAGCCCCAACGCAGCCCCCAGAGAGCTGGCGGGGAATCCCTCTCAGGCATTACAGGGTCTAAGATGCACACCGTGCAGCCCCGAGCGTGGAGGGTCTCTGTAGGAGCCAGGGGACCCAAAGCTGCGTGTGTGTTGTGTGTGTGTGGGGACGGGGGGGGGGTGAGAGAGGATGTGGCGGTGGGGGGGACTGGGGGGCTCGGCAGAGACAGAGCTGGCCGGGGAGCTAAATCAGTCCTGCCAGGAAGCTCATGCAGACACCGCAGCCCCCTGGGGTCAGAGAACCAGCGAGGGCTAGTGGTTAGAGAGGGGGCGGGACGGTGGAGCCAGGACTCCTGGGTTCTCTCCCCGGCTCTGGGAGGGGAGTGGGGTCTAGTGGTTAGAGCCGGGTGTGGGGCAGCTGGGAGCTCGGACTCCTGGGTTCTATCCTCTGTGTACTCTAGTTCCGTCCCATCCCCTCCCCCTTGCCTCAGTTTCCCCATCTGGGTTCCTTAGCGCTGGTATAATGTGGAGCCGGGAGGGGCCAGGGCAACTCTCCCCCCGCCCCCTCGGAAATTCCTGCCCTTCCTCTGGATTTTCCATTTCCTGCCATCGGAAAGACGCACTTCCCCTCCCCGCTGGGCCAGAGCTTGGGGGGGTGTGTGTGTGTCCCTGCACCCCCCGCAGCTGGCAATCTACACCCCCAGGGCTCCCTCTCCTCCCTGCATGGGGGTCACCGTCTCACTCCTGGGGTAGGGGTGTTTTCCTTTGGCAGGCTTCAGTGCGGAGAACCCAGGAGTCCTGGGTCCCATCAGCCAGTGGCTGTCCTGCCGGCGTGTGGGACCTTGGCCCCGTACTGCCCCAGGCTGAGGGCGATTCCCCGCCCGCTCGGCTGCAGCTCTCCTGGTACAAAGGGGCCCTGTGTGAGCCACGCCGTGAGTCACCGGGGCTGGGGGGGAGCTGGCGGCTTGGCTGGTGCTCCCGCCCGCCCGCCTGCACAAAAGGCCTTTGAGAGCAGGGCCGGGCCCGGAGCCGGGAGGGGGTTGGGGGGGAGACCATGGGGGCCCTGGCTCTGTGCTGGGGGGAACCAGCCCTTTCCAACCACTAGCCCGGTTCTTCGCCCCCTCTATGTATAGCCTGGGGGGAGGAAGCCCCCTAGCGTGGCAGACTAGCCATTCCTAACCCCCCTGCTTCCCACGGAGTCGCGCGCCCCGCTGTGTGTCATGGGCCCCGCGCTGCCGGCCCCCGGGGGTGATTCTCCCCGATGGGGAGACTGATATCTGCGAAACTGAGGCACTGACAGATGGATGGACGTAATGGAGGTAATGGAAAAGGGACAGAACCTAGGAGTCCTGGCTCCCAGCCCCCACCAGCCCCCACTCCCCTCCCAGAGCTGGCGAGAGAACCCTGGCTCCCAGCCCCCCGCTCTAACCCACCAGCCCCCACTCCCCTCCCAGAGCTTGGGAGAGAACCAAGGAGTCCTGGCTCCCAGCCCCCCACCCCCCCATTCCAGCCACGAGACCGCACTGACCCTCCCCACCTATATTATCCAGTTCAGCCCCACAACCCCCCCCACCCCCCACATGGTCGGCTAGAAATATCCCAACAGCTGCAATTGCCCTGAGTTTACCCCCCGCCCGCTCCTCCCCTGGGTGTATGTGGGGGCCAGGACACCTGGGTTCTCTCCCCAGCTCCGTGATGTGTCCGTCACTGGCTGGTGCCTCAGTTTCCCCTAGGCAGCAGTGCTGCCAGCTCCTTTGGTCCATTCCCATGCAGTTGTGTCGGGGATGGGGGGTGGGGTGGTGGTGGTGAGGAGGGCTCCTGGCTCGGGCAGCAGCTGGGGAATCCAGGCCAAATTTAACCCTGGCAGCTGGGCCGGGATTAACCTGGGCCGGGGCAGGGCCGGGGAGGAATGGCGGGGGAGGGGAGACAGACGCACCGGCAGTGAGGGGAGATTCCCCCCCCGCTCCCCACCAAGCCCCCCCTTGCTCCTGGCAGCAGGGCACCCCCCGGCGCTCCTTTTTCGGTGTCCTGGGGAGGCCCGGCTGCCTGCTTCTCCCTTGGCACCATCCCGCCCCGCCCCGGGCCGCGGGCGTCGCCCGTCCTGTGCCAACAGCCCGTCCCCGTGTGCCCCGGGAGCCATATGGAAACACGGGGCTGGGCTGGGAGCCAGGACTCCTGGGTTCTCTCCCTCCCCCCCCGGCTCTGGGAGGGGAGGGGAGCGGGGGCTGGGAGCCAGGACTCCTGCTTTCTCCGGAAACAGCCGGGTGTGACCCCTGGCCTCCTACCCGGGTTTTCTCCGCCCCCTGCAGCTGCCTCGGTGCTTTCCCTGAGTTTCCTGTTCCAAATTCGTTTGCTGACCTGTGCGCCCTGCCCCAGAGGTGGGCACATCTCAGCGCCGGGTGAGGGGTCCCCGGATAACCAGCCCCCACACCCCACCCCAGAGGGGGCTGCCTCACCCCTTGACCGCATCTCTCTCCCCCGTGCAGGTGACCATGTCGTCGATGGACCCCCTGCCCCCCGCCCTGCCCCCTGCCCAGAAGCCCACCCGCATCATGAAGCCACGTCCCCCCTCGTGGTCGCGGCCCTGCTCGTCCCCCCAGCAGGATGTGGCCCCCCGCCTGGATCCATCCCCCGGCGGGGAGCAGGGCCCGGGCAACGTCCGCAAGATGGTGGGGCGCTTTGAGCACCGGGCGGGCGGGGGCCCGGCGCCCAGCCCCCCCACAGAGAACGGGGCCAAGCGCCCCCCGCAGACTCCCCTG